AAAGTATCCAAGTAGAATACTGTTAGGAATTATACTTAACACTAATAAATTAGAGAAAACATAGCTATTATTAAACCCCAAATATTAAACTAATTTCATTTTGTGAAGATGTATTTAAATTTGTGTACTTGAATTTTAAAAATGTTATTGAGTTGGTGTAAGTATATGTTTTAATGTAGCACTTTTAAAGTATTAGAAGTTTAGTTTCACTGCATTCTAAGAATTTTAGGAATATTTGCTTTATGCACATATTTATCCCTATTAGCCAATCAGAAAAGAACTCTTTGTAATCAAATATATTAATACCTCTAGTGGTGAAAAATATTATACAGTCATACAATGAGAGATGAAAACCTTTCTAAACTACAGACAAATACAGAGACAGATAAAGAGATAAATTTCAGTCAAAAGTAATAAATATAGGAGCACCTGGGTGGCTCCGTGGTTGAGCGTCCAATTCTTGATTTTGGCTCAGGTCATGATCCCAGGGTTGTGGGATTGAGCCCCATGTCAAGCTCCATGCTTAAGATTCTCTCTGTCACTCCCTCTGCTCCTGTCTCCTACCTGTGTTTTCTCTCTCTCTGTCTGAAGAAAAAAAAGTAAATGCAGAAATCCCAAATTCTACCAGGCCTGGTATGAAAATTGCCTTCTCAGTGTGACTCTTGATTGGGGCTCAAAACTGACAAACAAATGAAAAGGACTAACAATCCAGATTCTCCATTGTCTCTCACCCAACAGAGAATAGATTTCTATAATCCATTAACCCAGTTATAAAGATTGTTATGCCCAGAATTCGTGATCCCCAAAGACCACCAGGGAGCCGAGTCCGATGCAAAAGCAAAAGAGCCTTTATTCGAGCTAGCTTGAGCTCAATCCCCTACCTGCACTGACGCAGCGGTGAGATACCAGGGAGAGAGAGCGAGTTTCAAAAGCACAAAGGTTTTATAGGGGTCTAGGGGCAGTTGGTGAGGTAATGGCTGTGGCCTCAGCCGATTGGCTGGGGAAGGGTCGTGGCCTCGGCCGATTGGCTGAGGAAGGGTCGGAGTTCTGTTATGCAGGTCGCTGGGTGTGTTTTGATCAGGAAGTTTGAATGGGTGAGTGGGAGGTTACTCAAGGTGGAGAACACAGAACAAGATGGAGTCGGCCGGTGTAGGCCTGCCCTTTCAAGATCACCAATGGTTAGACCATAAGAGCAGATTCTCCCATCACTGCTGCTACTAATGAGTACTGGCTATAAATGAACCAAAACCAAAACATAAATTAATAAAGAGGAAAATTTAAATTAGGAAAATAGCAAAGATGCCCTGTCACTTTGGATACACCTCCAAGAACCAAGAAGAGATATGCCCAGGCTTAAGCAGCCCATAAGAAGTGCACTTCTCTGGTTTACCTGGCTCTCTGTCAGATGAATCCATTGGGCCTTTTGGGCAAAGACCTCCAAAACTGTAAAAAGGTCATTTTCAAAATAAAAGTATGACTCTCCTGCACATATGCATATTAAAGATTCTTTTGTTTTAATGTTTTATTTTTGAGAGAGAGAGAGACAGAGTGCAAGCTAGGGAGGGGCGGAGAGAGAGGAAGACACAGAGTCTGAGGCAGGCTCCAGGCTCTGAGCTGTCAGCACAGAGCCTGATGCAGGCTTGAACTCAGGAACCAATCATGACCTGAGCTGAAGTTGGATGCCTAACTGACTGAGCCACCCAGGTGCCCCTTAATGGTTTTCTTTAACTTATTAATGAGGAAGCAGATGAGACGTTATAACCAGTTTAAAGGGGAATCCCTTTAAATCCCTTGTGTGTGTAGAGGGGGTGGGGAGTGGTGTCAGTGTCAGGTGTTTTGCATTGCTATTACCTACAGCTCTGAACTGTAAATAGCTCCAATAGAATTAGAATCAGGTAGTGGGAAGGATAGTATTATTGAAACTCCAAGTTTTTCCTGTATAAGGTTATGATTAAGATTGAGATGCTGATGCCACTCCATATGCTAGGAAAGATATGGTCCTACTGGACCGGCCTATACTTCAGCCACTCCCAGGCACCACCTCATTACTCCAGAATTATGTTTACCTCCCTCCTCCAAGCCCAGCTAGCCCCATGGCTTTCATCTAACCAGGCAGGCACTCCTACCTCGCACCCACATTTTCACCAGCCTGGACACTCACATGGGAAAACAACAACAACAACCTTTCTCCCATGTTTCACCTTTCTCCCATACTTCCGAATCCTGATGCGAATAGCTGAAAATTAAAATATGTATTTTTAAACTTGAATTTGTTTAAAAATCCCAACTTCAGCTCCAACGTAAAACGAAAATACCCATAAATCTAAAAGTATTTGCCTTAAACGGCTTTCAACAAGAAAAATAGAAGGATTCTCTTATTTCTCTGAAGCCCAATTCAGAGTCATGGTAAATTGTCCAATCTCATTCCTAAGTGGTTAAAAAAAAAAAAAAAAAGGAATCCTCCTCCAAAATACTGTAATAAACTGTTAATAAGGACAGAAAGACAAGAAGGCAACTTGTCACTCATATGTTTAAAATAATGCTCAAAAAAGGTAGAGATGCTTCCTTCTCCTCCGGGGGCTTTAAAATGAAATCCCGAGGGTGCATAGCTAGAGCTAGAAAGCACATGTTAAGATGAGAGATGTCTTGGATGCAGCCGGGTGCAGCCGAGGCCCAGGGAAAAGGAGAAAATAGTAAGTGACAGTTCCCCTTAGTTCAAGGCAGTTTGTAAGACCACCTACAAGACCAGCAAAGCAGCTAGTTGGTGACAGTCTTGTGACCCTGAGATTAACACCGACTCCTCAACCCCTCAAGGTCTGAGGTTTGAGGAATTTGAAAAGAGACTTTGGGAAAAAATAGTTGAACCACTGTGGCCTTCCCTCCCCACTGTCTCCCTGGGAGGCTGAGCCTTTCCTCATCTCAAGTTTCCAGAGAAAGGGCTTTCAAAGATTAGTTGGAAAACAGTGTTCCTTAGAATTGAGAGGGCCAAAGCGACTGGTATGCAACCCATGCCAGAGAAAATTAAAAGCAAAAGGCCGTGGCTAGAGTCCGTGACGAGGAGTGTGTACACCACTAAACACAGAACAGAAAAGAGCTTGCACCCCGTGGGTTGCCTGGGGGAAGGGACAATATAAGCATGAGGGTTTTTTCAAGGAGCCCCTGCCCAGGTGGGCTTCCCACCAGAGGCTGCTATGCAACAGGGGCTGGAATCAAATGCAGAAGCCAGCAGAGCAAGTGGCGAGCAGAAGGCGGCGTTGTCATTCAGTGTTGTCCCTGGAACTTAAGTTCTGAGTAAGAGGAGTCTGTATTGAACACCCACCGAGGTCCTGGAACACCACCACCAAGCGCTTCAGTTCCCCTAAAGGCCCTTCTTCCTCTTATTCTTTCCTCCTTTTACCTCCACCCCAAGTCCTGTAGGACCCACACCCTAGAGGGAGTAGAGGAGCAGCAGTAGAAGCATGAGGTGGGAAAGCAAACAAGCCAGCTGTACCACTCTGCTCCTCTGGCCCCTACTTCCCTCTCCCTCATGCCAGGTTTCCAGCCTGAATCAGCCTGGCTGGGGAAGTAGAGGAAGGGGGAAATATTTGCCTCAAATGAAGTTCAGAGTTTTAACTATTACATGGGACTGGACATTTCAGTGACTGAAATGAGACTATTTTATGACTAAAAGTGACTTTTTTTTCTAAGGGTGTCTGGAAAAACTACAGGGACCTACCTGAGAAACCAGCTTCTGAGCAGAGAGAGCAGGAATGAAAGTGAAGCTGTTTTATGATCACGCCCTATCAAGGCTACCTTCTTCTTCTTCTTCTTTTTTTTTTTTTTTTTAACATAATGGCTATACAAGTTTGCTCCAAAGAGGACAGCCTCTTTCCCATCCTCTAATAAGCCAACCACTATTGCCCTAAAAAGGTTCTGTAGGACTTCAGAAATTTCCATCCAAGCTGGAAAAACACCCTGCAGGCTTTAAGAAACTTGTCAACCACAAAGGACACAGGAGCCAAGCAGGAAAATAATAGCATGGTTTCACATCTCTTTGGGGGTCTTCTTATTTGAATATTCCATGAGATTCCTCAGACAGGAAGTTCTAGAGCTAGCTTTACCAGAGGAGGAAAAAACCCAACAACAATGCTGGCTCATCCAACTGGTCAAAACCATGGAGAAATCAGACCATACCGAAGATGCAACAAATTCTAAAAAGTCACTCACAAGGCAGTTCCTTGTATTTTCTGAGACTTATATCCTAGGAGGCATGCCAAGGAACCTTTGGGTGAATTCCAGAAACACTGCACCTTGGGAGTGGCAGGCAGACACCAGCTACAGCTAGAGCCCCTGTCAGTCTCTCTGCTGAGAGCAGTAATGCCCTCAAACCAATCTCTGATACAAGTTACAGGTTGAGGAAAAAATTAGCTTCAAGGACCATGTGCGTACACAATTTCAGTGTAAGCTATGCTATTTATTTCTAACCACAGTGAATGGGTGCATTTACTAATACAATAGGCGCATTACCATCATTTTCCCCTCCATAATATCTCCAAGTATCTTAAAACATATGTGATGAAGAGGGGCTTACGGAGTTACAGGTGCCGACGATTTCAACATTCCTTCAAAATCTACTGTTTACCTGTATATGATAACCTATCATACTGGGATGGGTGATTTTTTAAATCACTAGGGTACCTGTAAAGAGCAGATGTGAGGCTGTTTACATGGAATCCCTGCAGGACTACCATAGCAGAGACTGCATGGGCTCAAGCAGCCAAGGAATTCCTGTACAATAACCAGCATATGCAAAAAAGGGGGAAATTCAGCTCCTTGGGCTAAAAATGAACTTGGATCTGAATAACTAGAGAGGAAGAATTCAAAAATTGAATCCTATGTTTCAGTATTTCTCAAACTTGAGTGTGTAGAGTAATTACCTGGGTTTTTTTTTTAACATGCAGGTTCTGATTTAGAAGGTCTGGGGATGGGCCTGAGAGTCTTCATTTCTAACAACTTTCCAGGGGATGCTGACTCTTACTGAAGGGAATAAGTTGAAGACAGACAAGAGGGAAAAATGGAATTGACATGGATGATCGGAAGGCCAATACTCACCCCTGGTCATGCTCCAAGGCCACTTCCGGGGGAGTACTTTTTGATTCTTTAGCAGCTAAATCTTCTTGGAGGAGGCTGTTGCAGAATCCCCGCAGGAGAACAGTACCACCCCATTTATCTTGGATCTGTGTGGCATGGAGTCAGGAGTAGGGTGTCCCCTACATTTGGAGGAAAATGTCATGGCTCCTGGCTAGTGAAACCCTAGCAGCAGTGACAGCAGTGTTCTAGGAGAGTGGAGTACTCCAAGGCGTGGAATGGATGAACAATGGCAAACGCCACACAGGAATTCGTGGATTGCATGCATGAGACATCACTGGTGAGTCCCAGACATGAATTTCTTGTGGCGGGGGAAAGGGGGAGTGGTTTAATGGGCATAAGAGGTAGAGAAATATGTGACCTCTCAAGACGTGTGCTCTGTAAGAGCCAGCACTCAGAGGGCATCGTGGCAAGCTCCTTCAGCCAGAGAAGCAGAAACCTCCTGCAGAGAAGGGAACACAAAAGCATCACTCCATCAAGGAAGAAGGCACTTGCCTGTTTGCTTTTCCTTCTTCCCCAACACTAGAGGGAAGAACTTTAAGATGTGGGAGTACCTGAGACTCAGACTGTGCCCCTTTCTCTCCTCCTCTCTACTCTGATAATATATATATTTAAAATGTTCAACATTTTTTTCTGTGATTTTACAATTCTGGAATCCACTTTTTTTTTTTTTGCATTTTCTTATCAATTTATAAGACCTCTTTAGGTATATTAATAAAAGGAGAACTTTCTTGTGGAAAAAAAGCCCGATGGCTTGAATCTTAGAGGTGATTCGTTATTAGCAACAGTAATAATGGCAGCTAACTTTTATCAACCACTATTTTCTAGATACTGTTAGATGTTTTACTGTTAGATGCTCTTATAAATCTTCCTCACAACCCTGTGAGGTAGGAACTGTCCTCTCAATTTGACAGGAAAAGGAAACTGAGATTTAAGCAGTGTAGACCACTTGTCCAGTGTGTCCCAGTTGGTAAATACTGACATCAGGATTCGAACCCAGGCACAAGCTCTGGAAAAGGAGGCAGGAAAGGCATTAGGGCCTTGAGAATTCAGAGGATCTTGGAGAAGCTTAGAGTCCCTTTCCCTGTCTCTTTAAAATAAATATGGTGAGAGATTGCCCTGGGCTAGGTACTGAGCAGAGAATGGGGAGGGAAGCAGACACAGCCACAGAGCTTACTGTGTGACTGAAGAGAGCCACAAACACAAATAAGAATGTCATCTTAAGTATTTGTGTGAGCTATGAAGAAAAATTCAAAGGGCATCTACAGAGGAGTGGAGGACATTTAGACCAAGTGAGTAGGAAAGGCTTCTCTGAGTGAGAAGTATATAAACAGAGACCTGACAAATGAATAAGTTAGTCAAATAAAGTTGGGAAAAACATTCTGGGCAGAGGAAATTGCTGTTGACAAAAAGTATTCCAGGACTTTTGAACACATGAAAGGTGCAGGGTAGGTGGGGAGGGACTGGAGTAGGCAGGGACGTATTTAAAATCCCAGGAGGGGATCACAGGGTCTCTACTCACTACTGGGATAGATTAGTGAGTTTCGGCATTTGGGGGCTTAAGTTTCGGGATTTGCCAGTCAGTTATGGGGTCAGAAAGCCCTCTCTCAAGGTGTGAGGATCAGCGTCCTGAGGCAGAGGTCCTCATCTTGGGTTTTCTCTCAGAGGCTCCTAGTCTCATGGTAGGGTTTTCAGGTTTCTGCTCCCTCTGCCCACCCATTCTCTCAACCCTAACCTTGTAAGATCTTCTGCACTATGTTTTCAAATTGTTTGCTCATTTCCACCTGGCCCTTTTTCACCTTCCTGTCCAGGCATTTCCCCTGTACTTGGGAAAGGAACAGCTCAGTTTTCTTGCTTTCACTAGAACCAACTTGGGCATTTTATACCTTTATTCCTTTGCTTAAAACTATTTTTCTTTCCTAGAATTCCATTTCCTATTTATAATTCACCTGAAAAAAATTCTGTAAGTCTAGACAGTAGTCTAGAGTGTACTTCCTTTACAAAGCTTTCCCAGGTCCCCTACCATCAGAACTCCTATTTTGTTTGCTATTGGCCATCCAATGGTAGCCTAGCCTCTTGCCTTAAAATATTTTATGCACATCTATGTCTCTAAGTTAGTGAGCCTGTCCAGACATGAGCCATGTTACATCCATACCTTCACAGGTCCAGCCTCTTATTTGTACTTTATTCTCTTTCCTACAGCAGGAAATATTTGTTCACTCAGATTAATCAGTAGCTTGGCCAGTTATTTAATCCTCACCTCCTAGCTATAGTCCTACTATTCTACGAAGGTGAGAATCACCCGGGTGCTTGTTAAAAAGTCAGATTCCCGGTTCTACCCTAAACCTAAGGAGTCCTGCTGTTCAGAGGAACAGACCCCAAAACTGTATTACTAACAACTGCCTCAGGGAACCCTTATCATGACAGAGTTTGGGAAAATTCTACTGAGTATTATTTAGGTAGGGGAATTATCAGGCACATCCTAAGCTAAATGTTTGTTCACTCACCTTCCCCCCCGCCCCATAGCTGAACAGATGTTATTGCAATAGTTGTTGTTTTTCTGAAGCCTCCAGCCCTTCAAAAGGGAAGGAAGGAAATATGTTTTAGATATAGAAGTATTTCAAGATAGATGTTTGGAACTGGAGACCTAGAGAATAGATTTGCATAGAATAGACCAGAAACACACATTTGGGAGAGAGCCTGTGCAGAACTGAAGCACCTAATTACACCAGGAATATAATTCTCATAATCATCCTTATAAAGTAGGTTTTATTATCTACATTTTGAAGATCAGGAGACTGAGTTTCAAAGCAGTCAAGTGACATAAGTCACAGAGCTAGTAAAGCATAAGAGCTCCCAAGTAATGTGTGATTGTTTATTCATTTAACAAATATATAATAGGTGTCTCCCATGTACTAAGCATGTTTCTTAAACATAATTTATCCTTTTCTCTAGCAGCTTTTAAGCTTTTCTTTTTTTCTTTGGTATTCTAGTTTGATTATGATGACTCTAGGTGTTGATTCCCTTTGTATTTGTTGGGATTCAGTGGGTTTTTTTAATCTGTGGCATTCTTGCTAGAGGCTGCCCTAAGTTCTCTGCCATGTGTCTACTAACAAGACCAAGTAACTAACAAGACTGACACTTTTATAACAACAGTCATGGGAATGACATTCTATCACTTTGCCATACTCTCTTGGTAAGATTAAGGTCGGAAGTCCCTTCCCTTACACTTGGGAGTGGGGTGGGAGATACCTTAGAGCCTGCTCACCACAGTCTATTATTAGACTCCCTACTTGGCCAGTCTGTGCCTCTGATTTTCATACCCTGGGACTCATGACGCTGTCAAAGTGGTCTAATTTGGGGAATATGAGAGTGCCTTCAGGGCAAAAGTGGCTCCCATGCCTTCTTACCCATTCTTTTTTTTAACTTTTTTTTAAATTTTTTTTTTAAATTTTTTTTTTCAACGTTTATTTATTTTTGGGACAGAGAGAGACAGAGCATGAACGGGGGAGGGGCAGAGAGAGAGGGAGACACAGAATCGGAAACAGGCTTCAGGCTCTGAGCCATCAGCCCAGAGCCCGACACGGGGCTCGAACTCACGGACCGCGAGATCGCAACCTGGCTGAAGTCAGACGCTTAACCGACTGCGCCACCCAGGCGCCCCTACCTTCTTACCCATTCTTAAGTCTTCCCTTCACTTTTTGGCATGACAATTCCTTATTGTTTTGTCATCTCTTCATTGATCTTAAAAAAATACTTCTTATATTTTGTTCAGTTTTCCTGTTTCAGGTTGTTTTCAGCTATAGGGTCGATCCAAATAATGTAGCCCACCATTATTGGGAAAAAGAAGTCCTGATTTAGTGTTTAGAAGATCCACACTCAGACTCCTGTTTGAGGAAGGCCTGTAAGGATGCAAGCATGGAAGCAGAAAGATTAAGTAGTTAGTTACTTTAATAATCCAGGTGAGAGATGATAGTGACTTGGTATAAGGTAGCAACAGTACAGAAACCTTGGACAGAAGGGGTAACAAACATTTAAAAACATGTATGTGGTTTATATCATTTTCTCTCAAGTGTAACAGTTAAGACTAGAATTATATAGAAGCTCGTTAGGACTCTGGATTCTACCAGGTGATGGTATATTCCAGCATTTTTTTCTTTTACCCTTCAGTTCATTATGCTCCATTGCAACCCTACCTACCATCAGACAATCAGTTAAAACTCTATGTAGTCAAGCTATAAATTTTTAGAGGACAATCCCTGAGCTAGTGAATAGTAAACTTCCATGTACTCCATTGACAATGTAAAAGATTTTCCATTTTTCTATAGATAACAGTGGGGAAGTGCATCTCCAGCCTCAGAGGTGGATGTCCCCCAGGGTCCTCCTGAGATGTCTCTTAAAACAGTCTGCAGCTTTGAATTGGGTTTGTGGTTTAAATATCCTCTCAGACACCCTTCTTTGTCTAGGTTTGAGAGGTTGGTGTGTTCTTAATAAGGTTCTTTAGGTCACTGACACTCTTGTGTTCCACTCTAGTGGTCTTTATGTTTCCTTCTGTTCACCCGACATCATCTTCATTTAGATGGTTTCAGCCAGGTTGGCCTGGGTTTTCTTGTTTCACCACCTCTGCTGTTCTGCAGTATTCAGCTGGGGCTTTGACAGGGACATTCCTATCTCTTCCAGGAGCCCACCCTAGCTCAGATTTAATACCCTAGACTCCAAGCTGTCTTCCCCCCAACTGTAGTTTGATCCCAGCTGTATTCCCTGACTTCATTTTATGCCACTTTCTGCCCTAGTTATTGTGCTCCAGCCTTTTGGGGCCCCTGTTTCCTCAACTCACCAAGGTCATTCCTGCCCTATAGACTCCATCCTCTATTCCATCTGCCTGGAAAGCTTTCTCTAGACCTTCCTGTAGCTGGCTCCTACCCACCATCCCAAAGTCCCTGAATCCTCTCTAGTGTTCATCATCAAAAGATCAAAGGAACACCTAAGTTATACAGATCCTGCGTACCAATCAGAAGAAAGGTCAAGCACATTGTAGAACAATAGGGAGGGCAGGCAAGCCAGTTTAAGACACAGATAGAAGGCTGTAGCACTGCCTCACCCCTGAAAACAAAGGAATGACCGTTTCGCTTGTGCATATTTGATACCACTAACCAGTGAGTCCTTTATAGCTCTGCTATGGTCGGAATGTTTGTGTCCACCCAAAATTCATATGCTGAAATTAACCCCCCAAAGTGATGGTATTAGGAAGTGGGGTCTTTGGGGGTTATTAGGTCCTTTGGGCAGAGCCCTCATGAATAGGATTAGTACCCTTAGAAAAGAAGCCAAAAGGAAGCTCCCTTGCCATTTCCACCATGTGGTATTATAGAAAAAGATAGCCGAGGAAGCAATCTCTCACCAGACATGGAACCTGCTAGCACCTTGGTCTTGGACTTCCCAGCCTCCAGAACTGTAAGAAATTTCTGTTGTTCATAAGCCACCCAGTCTATGGCATTCTATTATGGCGGTCCAGACAGAGTAAGCCTCCCAATTTCTAAATTGATGCCTGATAGAGGCCCAGGGTAGGGGTATCTGCCTCCTGGGCTTTATCAATGAGAAGGTAATGATTTTTTTGAGTCTGGAGACTATTTTGTGGGCTCATCAAGTCATCACCTCTGTGTTACCTTTTGTCGCAGAGTCGCCTCCTGCTATAATTATCTTTATTTCAGACTGCCTGATACTAAAATCTCAACCAACCTATTGTTTCTACTCAGTCATTTACTTGATCTATGACTCTGGGCAAATCATTTCACCTGAGTTTAACTTGTTTGCCTGTAAAAAGAGGGCAAGGCAACCATCTCATGACCTTACCAAGGCTGTCGCAGGGACTGGATTAGAAGATGGGAAAGCACTTTGAAGGGGTTAATTACACATTATGTGATTGGGAGGTAGGATTATTACAGTTATCTGCACTTTGCCAGCTCAAAACAATTACAACCTAACCCTGTAATAGTTACAGCAGTGTCTTCCAAGTCCTGCTGAGTGAGGTCTGCCAGTCATCAAAACATATTAGAATTAAGGCTTACCCAGGCAGCTACTTCTGGACTCCACAGGAACACTTGTTTTCCTGTCCCCGGTGATCGACCCTCCCTGCTGGAGTGAGCACAGAGGCTCTCCTCCAAAATCCTCTTTTACCCCCTCAGGAGAACTTCCCATTCTCTGGCTTTCCTCTGCTCCAGGCCCATCGATCCGCCTTTCCTATGGATCACCCAATCAAACCGCCCCTCCTTCCTCTCCGTTTCCCCTCCTCGGCTTCCCATTCCTACAGAGCCTCCCTTGCGCTCACCCTCCTCCCCTCTCTGCCGCTTCCCTGTCTCCCGGAAGCCTATTTCAGCCAGCGACCGCTCCGTGCTTCAGCTTCTCTCCCTCTCATTTCAACTGTTCCCGGCTTCAGCCGTTTCCCGCGCGCGGTTCGGGTTCTCCCCACCGGGCGTTGGAAGTTGAAAGCTCTCGCGCGCCGATGGGCGCGAGCCCAGGGGGCGGGGCGAGGTGAGGGCGGGGCGACCGCAGCCGAAAAAGGCGCGGATGCTTTATCCCTGGGGCTGCCCTAGGAGAGGTGACCGTACCAGCGGGAACCCGAAGATGTATGGCAGAGCCTGGCACCGAACCACCTCCTCTGAGGACGCCTCGTAACTCTGCGGCTCCTCCTGAACTGGATTGGGGCGGTCTCTCCTTCAGGCCTTGCCCTTGCGAGGACTTACCAGAGACCAGGCCAGCGGGACCCAGTACCCATCCATGCGAGCCGTCTGGATGAAATAACTTATTTTATAATTGCTTTACTAATTGGTAAATTATAACTGTTACAATTAAAGTTAATAGTTGAGGAAAACACTATGCTGATAATGAAATTGTACCAGCACCAGCAGTGTTTGCTTCTTTGGAGACCAAAATTTACCTCCAGAAGCTGACCATCCAAGTTGGACACTTCCATAGAAAAGAGGCCTAGGGTACCTCCCAATAAAGATTACACTTTGAATATAGGCATACAATTTTGCTCCCCTTTTAAACCCCACCAAAACCACAGTAAACGGATTTTTTTTTTCAACTAATGCATTATTTGCAATATGAGTGAAACTGAGAGGAAGCTAGGAAATAGGATTTCCTCATCCTCCTAGGCCAAGATGTAGAATGCATCCCCATATCCTATGCTCTGTTACCCTCTGGTGCCATGCTGAGCATTGCCCTGATCCCCGAACTGACTTTAAAGGGATTTTTATTTTAGTTATTTTTTTTCAAGGGATTTTTAAAGTCATAAATCCTCAGAGATGGTGAGAAAAAGAGAGATGACAACATTTTGGGAACTAAAAAATAGATGGACAGGTGTCTAATGATTTAATAGAGCCTATAACTGTACAGGATAAGCCAAGAACTCCACAACTAAATGATAGATCCCTCAAAAGGCTTAGGATTTGATGTTCAAGGTATCTCTGGAAATGGGGTAGAGGGAAAATAAAAGAAGATTGATTGAAAGCTGTTGAGAAGAAGGTACTGCTCTTCTTACTAGGCAGAAGCAGGAGATCTGTCTGGAGAAGATAAAACTGAAGGTCTTTCAGGCATAGTTGAAGCCACGGAGACCACAAATACTGGACACTTAAGTACACATGAGCACATTAAAGGCCCGGTAGCCACCCCACTCCACCCTGCAGTCTTCCTCCACTGGCTCCCCAGGTGATGGGACCCAGGACTTTATTTTCGGTTCAGAAAATAGGAAAAGTTTTCTCTAGGTGATCTGATCAGCCTAAGAGGAAAGACTTAAAGATCCCAGCATCTGGAGTTCTCCAACAGCCCAACCAGGTCACTCTACAATAAAGCTCCAAGTTGACAAGCTCCATCCACTGCTCAAAACTGCCCATCAGCTGTTAGTCCTCCACTTTTAAATTAAATCCTGTCATACTGTGAATAGGACTGACATGTATAGCCAACAAAATTCCAAAATTGACAGCCACTGTACAAAGCTGAACTTTGAACTTCATAGAACACCACCTTCAAAATATTGGTTAAAAAAAAAAAATCCCAACCTATAATTATATACCTGGTCAAATTATGAAACCACTGTGAGGCTAGAATTAGGGATATATAGACAAGTTTTCAAAAATTTACCTTCCATGCATCCTTTCTCAAGAAGCAATTAGACTATGTTATGGCTGGGACTAAGGTAAAGTAAGTGAGGTGACTTAGGTGCAAAATTTAAAGAGGTACCAGAAAATTTAGCAATTAAGATAAGGAATTTTTAAATGTCATATTGAGGAAAATACAAATTAATGCAAAAAAATCCATGATGAAAAAAAAAAACATCAGAAGGTGAAATAAAGATAGGACCCAACAGGGCTGGGATTATGGTGCAGGGAGTGGGGCTAAGTAATGCAAGTGCAGGTGTGGGTCCTGCCTTTATTAAACGTTTTGATATTATGTTGGTTATACAAGTTAACCCTACTTTATGTGGGACAGGAGTACATAAGGACATGAATACAAGGAGGTGAGCATCATTGTAGATCACTTTGGAGGCTAGTCATCACGATAACAAAAGTTATGTGACAATTTTATTGGGTAGAAAGGGGAGTATAGGAGTATGTGTTTCTGGTGGGCTGGTGGTAGACATGAGAATTAACCCCTCATCTTCCATGGTGGATAGTCAATAGATAATACTACCAAACAGAAGAACCGAGAAATAATGTTAGCATGTTATGAAAAGATATGGGGATGGGGCGCCTGGGTGGCTCAGTCGGTTGTGTCCGACTCTTGATTTTGGCTCAGGTCATGATCTCATGGTCATGGGATCGAGCCCTGCATGTAGCTCTGTCCTGGGCCTAGAGCCTGCTTAAGATTTTCTCTCTCTGCTCCTACCCTGCTTGCATGCTTATTCACACTCCTGCTCTCTTTCTCTCAAAAAAAAAAAAAAAAAAAAAAAAAAGATACAGGGATAAATACTAAAAAAAAATGATAAAAGATTTGAAAGTGATTCCTTCTGGGGAAGGAATATGGGAGAGGAGCAAGACAGGGGGCTGGGGACTGCTATTTGCCTTAATTTTGTAGAACTAGTTGACTATGTTTTGTACCCACATGACTACTAAACAATTATAAGTAAATGTTTGACATTTCAAATGAAAGTCTCTGAGGTACTCATCATGGGGAAGGCAGAAGTTTGTTGGACTTTATTATATGATGTTATGACTAAGCATTATTTTTACTTTGGGTTACATATGGAGGTGGGTGCTAGAATTGTTTTAATATTGGGGCTTCCAACAATCTTCCTGGGCTTGTTTTCCAGGGGAGATAGCTTCTCCATCTCTTGTGACCCTCACAACTACATAACAAGGCATGAACTATCGCCGGATGAGGGATACTGTCAGATGAGGGAAAATGAGGTTCAGAAAGGGAAAGTAACCAGTCAGAACTAATGGTTACATAGTTAGTAAGTGGCATTGAGGTAGACTGGGTACCAGATCCTTCCAGTAAGACCAGTTTTCATACCAGGAAACTGCCATTAGCTCCCTATACTGTAGCTTCCTGTTGGTCTCCTCTGGCCAGATCCCCACTATTGCTGTCTAGTTCTGGTTTGACCTGTACCAGCATTCCAAGTTTGTGTGTGTGGCATGTCCCTGACATGTGTGCAGGGTCCTCCACCTCTCTGACTGCAGGAACTAAACATTCCAGGCTTAAAGCCAGACTTCTCTGCTTCAACGACCCCATCGCTTTTGCTCTTGCCTTTTCGGGGCTGAACTACAGAGCCACACATGTAGGTGGCCTGGGGGCTGCTTCAAATGCCCTGACGAGCTGTTCATTGCTTCAGGGCTGACTAATACTGCTGCATTTGGAAGCATTGGGGAGTTACTTCTGGTTTGAGGAAAGGGATTCCCCCCGCCCCCAAACTGAGTTCCACCTGGAAGGCCCTGCCCATCTGCAGGTGAGGGCTTTGCATCTGCCTCTCCCTGCCCACGGGATCATGTATCTGATTGGGAATATCTTATGTTTCTGGCTTTCTCATGTTGCTTACAGCTTACGTGTTTCACCCTGGGAAATTGGACAGCCTTATCACTCAAACCAGCCTCATCGTTCAAATGTATACTTCTCAAGATCCCTTCCATGTCTTATCTCTTATTACTTATATGCCTAGGTGGGTTCTGGGACTCAAAAGTGTTTGATTAAGACAAAGTAGTACTTCACTGGGCCTAATCAGTAAGCTATTTTCTTCCCTCAAAATGTGGCTACATGGCTGGGTTAGATTCTGTTTCCAGAAGACTCACCCTACCAAGGGGGAGGTGCTGTTCTTTGTGCATGATGAAGAAGAATCTGCTGACCGAGTGTCTCCTTAGGTTTGGGGATACTGAATAAGGCTCAGAGAATAAGAAACAGCTAAAGGAACATTGCTAGAATCTGCAATGAAGGCCACCATTTCCAGGAGGTCCCCCCCTCTAGGAGTTATATCCCAGCAACAAAGATATGATCCCAGCTGGCTCCTGCTTTCTTCCCCAACCTTTATGCTTGCTTTCCTCTCCTCTCAGTTGTCCTCTGCCAGAAATAACTCCAAGGAATGAAGTCTGTCCACAAAACATCCTTGCTTCTCACTAGTGAGACCTGACTAACCAGAGTGTACGGTCATCCAAGACCCTGGCTTGAGTTGTCTATAGGAGGGGCCAGCTTTTGGCCTAGGCTCCTTCTTGTGCATGTTCCCTTTGATGCTTCCCCTTCTCTGATTTGACCTCATATCTGAGACTTAGCTAGCAAACCTTCCTTCTTAGAAGGTTTGAGGGGGTGAGATTTTCAGGATACTTGTCCCCATCTTGTTTGGGGAAGTGAATCTTCAGGGGCTTTCCGCCGGGGATGGTGATGCTAGAAGTGGGGCTCACCAAGGGATGCAGGTCTGCAGAATTATAGACTTACCTGTTTTTCTACTTTGAGCCCTGAGAAGAATCCTGCCTGAGTAGTTCCAAATCGCTCCCAACTTTCCAGCCCTGAATGACTGAGATCAGAATCAGGATGCATAGTGAAAAGAGCATGGGCTTTGGGGTCAGGCACATATGGATTCAAATTCTGACTCCATTACATTCTAATACCATCTCTTAGCAGGCCCCAAGCTTCCTATTGGACCCAGAGTTCTGCTCCCTTCAGTTAGGGGTGGTCTCTGTCTGCAGAGGACCTTGTTTCCTACTGTTATTCCTGCATGCTGGTCTTAAAGCAATCTTGAGTCTAACCCTTGTTATGCTATGTGCCTGATACAATGATAAGAACTTTTGAGCATTGCTTTATGTAATTCTCAAAATGGCAGTGTGAATTACGATTCGGACACCGATTACAATGTGTTTTTTTCCCCCCATACCACCAAGCAATGTTCTGACACCAGCTGGATGACCTACAATTTAACTCAATCCTGACATTATGTACCTAGAGATAGCATCAGATCCCACAGATTAAGGGCTAAGTCATACAAGACTGCCCCTGACTTTAGATGCCAGTTGGAAGTCCTCGTAGTTACCTGTGCTTCTCACTAACTGGCTATAGATTGGAGGTTCCAAAACCCCTTCCTTGATTTGATTAATTTCCTAGAGCATTCACAGAACTCAAGAGAGACATTTTACTTACTAAATCACCAGTTTATTATTAAAAAATGTAACTCAGAAACAGCCAGATGGAAGAGATGCACAGGGCAAGTTGTGGGCAAAGGACACGGAGCCTCCATGCCTTCTCCAAGTGGGACTTCTCCCCAGTCTCCACATGTTCACCAACCTAGAAGCTCTCCGAGCCCTGTCCTTTTGGGTTTTGTGGAGGCCTCATTAGGTAGGCAATTGTGATTAAATCTCAGACCATTGGTGCTTGAACTGAATTTCCAGCCCTCCTCTCCTCCTTGGAGGTCAGGGGCAGGGCTGAAAGGTCTAACCCTTTTTTTTTTTTTTTTTTTGACAGCCCACAGAAATGAGTCTGTTTATTCATAGAAGGTGGACATTAAACTAAACCCATACAACTGGGGGCACCTGGGTGGCTCAGTCCATTAAGCATCCAACTCTTGGTTTCGGCCCAGGTCATGATTCACGGTTCGTGAGTACCAGCCCAGCATCAGGCTCTGTGCTGACAGCATGGATTCTCTGTCTCCTTCTCTCTCTGCCCCTCCCCCCGCTCACTCTCTCTGTCTTTCTCAAAATAAATAAACCTAAAAACTAAATAAATAGCTGTATAAACCCATACAACTGATATATAAAACCAGTCAGCAAAGGAGATTAGCTATTTCCAGTAACAGATGGAATGTTCCTGTAGGATAACACTTCCTTCTTTTGAGCCAGCAGATTTCTTAATGTGTTCTTTCTTTATTTTTATTTTTATTCAAATTAGTTAACATACAGTGTAGTCTTGGCTTCAGGAGTAGAGCCCAGTGATTCATCTCTTACATATGACACCCAGGGCTCATCCTGAAAAGTGCCCTCCTTAGTGCCCATCACCCATTTAACCCATCCCCCTCCTCCAGCAACTCTTAGTTTGTTCTCTGTAGTTAAGTCTCTTAAGGTTTGCCTCCCTCTCTGTTCTTAAAGTGAGCTAGAGGCTTTAGGAAAGTCAGTTCATCAACAAGTCAAAAAGCACCTTTTGGGCTCTCATCACTTAGGAAATTCCAAGGGTTTTAGGAACTCTGTGCCTGGAGAGGGGGTAAAGACCCAACGTGTATTTCTTATTATAAATCACATTTCACAGAAGTTAATGTAATTATTTTTGTTTTATAGCTGAGACTGAGACTCACTGAAAGAACTTGCACAAAATCAACTTTTAAAAGGCAGGCCAGGTCTACTGGAACCCAGGTCTTTAAGCCTTGAAAGACAATGCAGCATGCCTGGAAAAAGAAAAGGTTTTGGGAGCAGACACCTGAGCTCAGTGTTGCCGCAGGACTTCATGTAAGTCCACTAAGCTTTCTCAGCTTCACCTTCCTTTTCTGTCAAACAAAGAGAAACGTTGTGTAGGAGAGAATGAAGTGAATTGGTATATGTAAGATGACTGTCACGCTGCACTGAGAAGCTCCACATTTCCCACCCCCTCTGTCACCCCGCCTTCTAGCCCAGGCTGTCATTTTCTCACCACATTATGCTGTTCCCAGCCCAGTATGGGGAATCAGGCAGGAACACAAGTCAATATGATAGAAGAGAGAAAGCAGTAAGTACTACAGGAGCAGACAAGCTTTGTGAGGATGACCAAGAAGGACTTCTGGGAGGCAGCGATATTAAATTTGGACCTGAAATGTTTGACAGATTTTAAGAGACAGAAAATGGATGGGAGGTCCCTGAGATTCCATATCTGGTAACTAGACAGGGCTTGGGGGAGGGGGTAAGGTGATGGATGTGTAAGTATCTGGTAGACCAAAGGGCAGCACTGTGTGCGAAATGGTGTTATTCAGGCCATGCTTTTGTGCTACCTTCTAGGCTATCCCTGGGCCACAGGTACTTCAGCTCACACTGGACTTGGAGCCCGACCCCACCCAGCTTCCCACTGCCATCTGGTGGTCATCCGGAGCCCAGGGCCCAGCTCCTGATGGGCCTTCATCAGCAATCTCCTTCAGAGTGCTGTAAAGCCTGTGGGCAACCCTACTTCCGCCCCTGAAAAAGTTGGCATGAGAAAGAAAGGCCCGATATCTTGCCTCCAGTAAGTCAGACCAGCTGGGATTCTATTTTTAACCTGCACTGTTGTAGTTGACAGCTTGGAACGCCTTCTCCCTCCTTTTCTTCCTGCATCCTGCCTCTTGCAGCCCAGGGCCCTGTAGAAAGGATGGATGGGAGCAGCTTCAGCACTGGTAAACAAAAGACCACTCTCCTTTCTCATTGTCCTTCACCTGGCCTTTGTCCAGCCTAGTTAGTGGGTGGAGTTGGAGGTGTTACTGGCTGTGAGGTTAACGAGGCTTAAATCTCTGGGCTCCTCACTGCATAGGCGCCTTCCGTGGCCCTGGTCAGTGTCCTGGCAATTTTGTATCTGTCATTTTGTATTCTTTTTCTTAAAAAGGGCACCCGGTTTTATAAGCTCCAGGCCCCACAAAACTTGGGTCTGCCTCATGATGGGTATGGCTTGTTTCCCATCTGAGCTTAGTGTCTACTTCAATAGGATTATTTCTGTCTTGTTCTAATTTATTGTATGACCTTGAACAGCTTTCTTTCCTGCTCTGGGTCTCTATTTTCCCATGTGTTACAAGACAAAGTGTCAAGAAACCCTCTCACTCTATCATACTTCTGATTATCCATGTATATCCCTGGTGAGGTCATCTGTTCTTCCCTACCTGTCATTGTGTGTGCGAAGGGATGATGTTGCTGTCTCTGCCTCTCTCTGGGGCTGGATCAGTCTCATAGTCAAAAGAAAGCCTGGGCTCTGGGATTCCTCTTATTCAGATCCAGCATTCTCCCCACCTTTGTTGCTGACCAGTAAAGGTGCTTCCACGGGGTAGAAGCTTGGCCAGATTCTGACACCAGAGAAGAGTGCATTAAAAAAGTTCCTACTCTTTAACTTGTACACTTATGATCTGAGTCCTGGTATTTGAAACACACATTGAATAAACTGAGTCTTATTATATAGTGCTTCTACTTACATTTCAATAAAATTTTAGTAATTACCTATTAATATAGTACCTTAGCAATGGCACCACTTTAGGAGAATGCTTAGGAATCATGATGTGTCATGGATATTCCGCCTGCCACCCCCATCCCCAGCTACTATGTATGACACTAGTGTGTAGGTGGGTCCAGGATGACAACCCAGACAGAATACCCACATCCCCATTTAGCCTCAGACCATGGGCATTTTGGCAGGGGGTCATGCACAGGAGAGACCATGGAAGAAGGACCCAAGAGGGAGAATTCTACAAAATCCCGTGCCTCCTCACCTGCCCCCCCCCCCCCCAAAAAGTCCAGAAAGGAAGTTCAGGAGGAAGCCAAGTCATTTATTATTTCTTGAAGAGTTTGGGTGATGGAGGAGGGCCAGGGCCATAGAATTTAACTGGAAAGGAATGAAGGGACTTTTCAGTGCAAAACAGCCTGTTGGTCAGGGAGATGTGAGATTAGGTTGGTTGGTATTTTTCAGTGCTGAAATGGGGAAGGGCACTGTGAGGTCAAACTGGGGGGGTGGGCGGGCAGCTTGGAGCATCTCAGGAGTCAGTACCGTGCCAGGCTCCAGAGCCCTAAAGAATCAGTGCCATTACTATGTGTATATGAGAGGCAGGCCAGCCTCTCTCAGAATTTCCACTATGTATGGATAGTCCATTGCTAGGGATGCTGTGTCTGTGTGTGTCTAAAGTCAGTGCCCTGTTTCTCTATGTGCCAGGCTTGGTCCCATATCAAGAGTGTGCCTTATTTCCTGTGTGGGGATCTGGTTTGTTTCTTTTGTGTCAGGTAAGCCACTTTTGTGTGTGTGTTGGGATTAGTCCATGCTTTTTGGGTGTCAGTCTCCTGTGTCAGTGGGTCTGTGTCTCTCGTGTGTCTGGATGGGTCCCTACTTGTAGGAATTGGTATGTTCCGCCTCAGCCCCCACTCCCTCTCTACCCCTCAGCCAGGCCCCAGCGTGCTGATGGTGGTGTAGCTCAGCCTGGACAGTGAAGCGATGGAGGGGGTGGGCGGGTCCTCATCTGGAAGAGGCCTGGGGCGAGCTCGTGGAGGCCTGGGGCAGCAGCGGGCACATGTCTCAAGGCAGGCCTGGCGAAAGCGACGGTGCATGAAGCAGTAGACCAGGGGGTTGACACAGGCTGAGGCGTAGCTCAGCAAGTGGATGAAAGAGATGGGCGCTCCCGAAAGCGCGCGGTGCGCACCAGAGCTGTCGAAGGCGCGCCACGTGTTGGCACTGTACAATGGCAACCAACACAGGAAAAAAAGCACAACGATCACCAGTAGCATCCGCACCACGCGCTTCTTAGCCAACAGCTTGGCCTGGTAGGGCCGGGGGCCACATCCTGGCCCAGGTGTGGGCGCCGTCAGCGCGGACAGCTCCAGGGTCTGACGAGAGCGCGGAAGCTGCACGTAACAGCCATCACCATCCTCTCCAGCCAGCCCGGTCTCCGGCCGGCAACGCCCATTGGGTTGGGCAGAACCTGAGTACAGAGGGTAGGCGGTCAGAGCAGCAGGCTGAGCCCTCTCAACCTCCAGCCCAAGAACCACCAGACCCCGATTTCCAGCATCTGCGTGTCAGGCTCCTTTCTGCCCCACCCACTCTAGGCTCCGCCCCTTCCCAAGGCCGGTGGTAGGGGTGGGGGCCGGGAGGGGAAGCTGGATATCACCCACCTGGTCCTGCCCCGCTCCGCAGCCCTCTTTGGCTTCTGACTCGGCTCTGGTTCTCATTGTCACTGTCTTCGTCAAAGCGAAGCCCTAAGTAGAGCTCGCGGGAGATGAGCCCGTAGGCCACAGCCATAACCACACCCGGGACAAAGAACAAGAGCAGGAGCAGCAGTACGGACCTGGAGACAGAGCAGATCAATCACGCGGGTATCTGTCCACCTGTAATCACAGGTGGAAGAAGAGCAAGGGATCCTTTCTAGGGCTGGTGACCAGGCCCCTGAGGTAGAAGTAGGATTTGGGGGTCCTGCTGGGAAGGGCTAGAGAACTGGGGAGGGACCCCAAATGGGAATCCCAGGGTGGTGGGTGAGGAGAGGGAATCAGAGTATTGCAGCAGCTGGAGGAAGATTCTGGGGAATGGGAATAAGCAGCTGATGGAGATGGAGAGAGGAATTCCCAGGAATGGGTGCCCTCACCAGGTTTGGCGAACATGTGCACTGGGCCAGCGATGCACGCACTGCAGCACACGGGACCCTACTGGCTGTACGGCGGTGTACACGGGATAGGGCACCATGAGCAGTCCAGAGAGCATCCACGTGGCTATGATCACACGAGCTGCATGGGACCGTGTCTGCCACACTCGTGCCTGCAGTGGTCGGCAGATGGCACTGTATCGCTCCAGGGCGATGGCCACAAGGCTTAGTGTGGACACGCTTACAGACACCCCTAAACAAGGGAAGAGGAAGGGGTCATTCAGGAAACTTGTACTACATACTCAACCAGTGATTTGCTCAGGCCCTACTGAGAAAGACCCCTATGGGCAGCAAGAACTTTAGGTAAGGAGGGGAGCAGGGGGTTGTCTCACCTACCCATGAGGTAGGAAACCGCCTTACAGACGACTGTGCCAAAGATGAATGTGCCCATGAGATTGGGCAGGAGGGTGAAGGGCATGCAAGCCACAGCCAGCAGGAGGTCACTGACTGCCAGTGAGAGCAGGAAGGCATTGGTGACAGTCCTCAGGCGGCGGCTCAGTCCCAGGACCACGATGATGAGCACATTTCCTCCAACACTCATCAGAAAGATCACTGCATAAAGGGTGATCCTGATGGCCAGCTCCAGTTCTGGGTAGGAAAACAGAGGGGTGGCAGCAAGGAGTCTGGCTCCCACTCAGCCAGACCCTCCAAGCCCACTTATTCCCCACATCTCCTACCCAGCTAGATCCCTCTGCATCCCAGGAATACCTCCTCCCACTCAGCGGATGGGTTCACTTGAATCCTTTAGGTTTTTAACCCCATGAGGCTTAGGGAAATTGGCTTAACTCCTCCTCTCCTTGAGAAGGTCTGTCTCTTCTCAAGCTTTGCTTCAAATTCTCCCTTCTCTTTACAGCCAAGCTTCTTGAAAGGATTATTTGCATTTTCTCATTCACTCCTCAGTCGATTACAGTCCAGTGCCCGATCCATCTCCCCTCCGCCCCCCATCACTGTTTGGACACTTCTCAAGATCACTAAGCTTTAACTGCCAAGTCCAAAGGTCTCTTCTCAGCCTATTCTACTTGATCTCCCTGTAGCATTTGACACTATTGATCACCCACTACCTTTTGAAACATAGGTCAGGTCAGGTCCTTATTGTCTAAAAAATCCCTCTTCACCTTCCCTGTACTGTCTGCAACCCTTTAGCGTGTCTTCCAGATCCTCTGAGAACTGTCCTGTCTCACCTCCTCTTGCAATGCACCCACTTAAGCCACTGGATGACTTACTTTCTTTAAAAAAAAATTTTTTTTTTAACGTTTATTTATTTTTGAGACAGAGAGAGACAGAGCATGAATGGGGGAGGGTCAGAGAGAGGGAGACACGGAATTGAAACAGGCTCCAGGCTCTGAGCTGTCAGCACAGAGCCCGACGCGGGGCTCGAACTCATGGACCGCGAGATCATGACCTGAGCCGAAGTCGGCTGCTTAACCGACTGAGCCACCCAGGCGCCCCTGGATGACTCACTTTCTTGAAGGCATCATGCACCCTCATGACTTCCTCCATTGCTAACATTGATTTCTCAGCCTGGAATGTTCTTTCACCAACTGCCACTAATACCCTCCCCCCATCACAAATTGGTTTTCTGTATCTGGTAAATTCCTATACACCACTGCCCATCAAGACTCAGATTAACTGCCCCCTCTTCTGTAAGGCCTTTCTGGATGCCTCATTTGGAGTTAATCTCCCCTTCCTCTGACCCATGAATGTTCCTTACACATCTATCAGAATGCTTTTTATTTTCTACCTTGTATTTTAATTATCTCCAAACATTCATTTTCACTCAACAAACATTTACAGAGGACTCCCTCTGTGTTAGGCAGTGAGGACAAAGAGATGGACATGACAAATTCCCTGCCATCTGAGAGCTCACAGTCCAGAGGGAAATTTGGGTACATAAATAGATAATTGCCACACAGTGGGATAAGGAGTAAAGCTGGGGGATATACAAAGTGTTGTGGGAGCTCACAGGAAGGACACTAGTGTTGCTGGGCTAGACAGAGGGCTGACCCCATTCATTTGTGTCATTGTCTGTTAGGGGATGGATCCATCTTTGGGCCTCTATATCACAGCCAAGCAGACCCAAACAAAAGTGAATTGAATTAAGCTGGACTCAGTCACCCAAGCCCATGGCCTCAGTGTGAGAGATATGAGAGCTTGAAGGGAGAGAAGGCAGGGCCAGAGCCTTCCAGGTTGTGGGGAGGGAAGGGCTCAGAGCTGCAGCTCCCCCTTCTGCAGCCCCATACATTGACTCTTGTCTTAGGCTCTGAATTAAACTGTTCTTATAATGATAACCAACTTATTCAGAAACAGCTGTAGGCATCAAGTGAATGCTATCTACAAGAGATTCCTGAACAGAACCCAGCAGTGACATTAGTTCTCAGATCACACAGTCAAGTCAGGTGTTGAATCAGAATAGCAGCTGAGTTTCCAGATCTCTAAAATGCTTTGCCTCCTGCTGCTCCCTCACCCCTCTGTCATTCATCATGCTGCTTCCTTCCCCAATCAAATCTCAATCTCAGTGCCTCTTTCTGCCTCTCTGTACTCCAGTGTGGCATTGCTCACTGTATTATTATGTTTAATTCTCTATCTCCTCCACTGGACTATAAGCTTCTTGAGGACAGGGGCAATGCCCAGATCATTCTTCTGCATATCCCTGGCACTTAGCATAATGTCCTACAAATAAGAGGTGTTCACACATGCTGGCTCATGCATCTTGAACGAATCTCTTTCACTCTCCACACAAATGCACCTGCTTTGTCCTGCCCCATCCATGCTTCACCTCTGTGCCTCTAAAGCTCCAGCATGCCCTCCTCTCTGCCTCTGTCTCTTTGGAGACATGTCTCCCTTTCTGCAAGGAAGGCTTATGTGTAGCAAATTTGAGGTGTGTGTGAGCTAGTATTCTATCCTGTACTTTTTGTCTCCTTCCAGTCTACCGCCCCCACCCCTCCACTTTCCTTAATCTCTCCATTCTATCATCTTTTTCAGATCCTCCTCTGGATGTCTCTCTTCAACTAGTTCTTGAATCAATAACCACACCTCAAGTCGGTACACACCCTGAAGTATGAAAAGCACATTTCTCATTCATTCACCCAGCTGATGTATCCCATGTGTGTCTTTGAACTTGGTGGAGCAGAAAGATGAGATGATGCCCACTCTTATCAAGTTCCCAATCTGCCTGGGGACTCCTGAAAACTAGAGGGACAAAGTTCCAGTAAAATTGCCCAGCGATCGTACAACACTTTGCTATTTTTCTGCGCATTCCCAGCAATTAGCTTATTTCCAGCCACTACTATCTCTCCAAGTCTTTGCTGTTGAACAGTTAGGAGATGTGAAAAAGATTAATTAAAAGCACTCTTAGAGCCAGTGGCCCAGGGAGAGGGTAGGAGGGATGAAAAGGTAGAGCACAGGGCTTTTAGGGCAGTGAAACTATTCTGTACAGTACTCTAATGGTGGATAGATGTTACTATACATTTGTTAAAACTCATAGAATAGAGGAGAGCCTGGGAGGCTCAGTCAGTTGAGTGTCCAACTTCAGCCCATGTCATTCTCTCATGGTTCATGGGTTTTAGCCCTGCATGGGACTTTGTACTGATAGCGCAGAGCCTGCTTGGGATTCTGTCTCCATCTCTCTCTGCCCCTTTCCTGCTTGTGCATGCCTACACATTCTCTCTCTCTCTCTTTCTCTCTCTCTCTCTCTCAAAAATAAACAAACATTAAAAAAAAAATCTTTTAAAACCCATAGAATATACAACCCAAGAAGTGAACCCTGATGTCAACTATGGAATTTAGTTAATGTATCAATATTGGCCTATCAATTGTAACAAATGTGTTGCATTAATGCAAGGTATTAATAGTAGGGGAAACTGTGTGTGTCTCTCTGTGTGTATATGGGGGGGGGGGTGTGGGAATCTCCCTGTGCTTTCCATTCAGTTTTTCTGTAAACCTGAAACTACTGTAAAAATAGCCTATTAGTTTTTTCAAAAGTCACTAAAAAGCAATTAGAATGAAGACTTGTGTGTGTGTTTTTGCCTATGTGTATGCATCCATGTGTGTTTGTGTGGTGGAATAGGAGTGATCATGGTGGCTTCGGCAACTAAGAAGTTAAGGTAGGGGTGGAAGAATGGGAGTGGCACCTTATAGATTCTAGTGCCTTGACTACCTCTGGGCATCATCCTGCTGGGCCAGAGAACTCAGAAGACTGTGACAGTTCATTTCTGTTTCTGGGGTCTAAAAGATCTGCATTTGTTCTTTCCAGATGGTGGCAGAGAAGTATGAGCACAAAAATCCAGATAATGTGCCAAACACAAAAACCAGGACTTTATAAGAAACAACACCGAAGCTGCTGATGCCTCAAATCCTGCCTTCCACTGGCATGTTGGATCTGGTCACCCATGAACACAGACATCAAAGCAATACCCATGTGTCTGTGGTGATCATGGACAGCATGCAACTGATTGTGGATGATAGCTGGGCAAATGGGGATATCCAAATGCCAATGGGTACTCACTGAAGGAGCAGAAATAATATGGAAGGATGTACAGGTAATATCAGAGTGAACATTGGATAATAATTTAGTTTTTGAGATAATATCTAGGTGGGTGAGAGTAATACATATTTTTGTGGACAAGGTCTGAGAAGGGTTTAACTACGTGTCTGTAGATAATGCCTGACTGAGAGTGGGCAAATTTAGACTGTGCAGAGGTAATATGTCTGCGGATAACATCTCGTTTGGTAGATGACATCTTCAGAAAATGTGGATTATATTCAGAGGTCTGAACTGAATGGGGGAATATCCAAATGATGATGGTAGTAGTTGAGTAAGCAGAAAGTAATATTCAAGTATGTGTAGTCAATATTTAGGTGAGCATGGATGTGAGATGTTAACATGTTAAGATGTGAAGTGAGAGATCAATCTGAGTAAAATAACTCAGTGCCTGAGTGAACACACGTGATATCTGAGTCTTTGTGGTTAATATCTGAATGTGTGAGACTAACAACCATGATTTTATGGGTGATATCTGGAAAAGGTTAGTTAAGTGAGCATGGGTGATATCTATGTGTGGATGATAAAATGAAAGCAAGTGTGTCTGATGGGTGAGTGACATCTAAATGACTATGGGCATTGTTAAAGTAACTGTGGGTGATACCTGGTTTTCAGTGGTGGCATCTGAGTGAACATTAGCACTCTGGTCTATGTGGGTAACATATAAGAATAATGTGGGTAACATCCACATTTCTACTGGTAACACTGGAGTGAGCCTGGCTAACATGTAGTATCTGAGTGAGTGGCAAACAGTCTTTGTGGGTAACTTCTGACTGCCTGGGTAACATCCACTCTGTGTAGGTAACAACATCCAGATAAGCAAGGCCAATTCTTGCACCTGTGCTCTGAATCACTTCATGTTCTGCTTTCTCAGGCTCCCTTGCTCTGTGGACTGTCCCTGCTCTCTGCTGAGCCTTTGACCTTCCTTTCCTCTGTCTTGGCCCATGCTGCATCAACATTTTAAAAAGACTCTTGCCTCTACTGCACACACATATACCCAAAGACAACCCCTACCACATACCATTCCTCAATCCCATGCTCTTTCTGGCACTATCCTATTTTTTTCTTTGCTTCTCTCTCCCTCCCAAATTTCTGGAAAGTTTCATCTACACACCCTGGTTCACTTCTCATAACCTCCTCATGCACCCTCCCAAACCTCAACCAACTGTAGTCAGGCCTTAATACCCACAACTCCTCTTAAGGACTTCTTTGTTACTGGATCTGAAGGATGCTGTTCTGTCCTTATTCGACTTATATCAGCACCATATGACATCACTTATCCCACCCTGCTTGAAATCTTTCCCTTGCCTTGTCCCTCTGATGGTTTCATCATGGGCTCTCCATCTTTTGCCTGGCTTTTAAATCTCAGTCTTTTTCAGGGTCCTGCCCCGGGACCTGTTTTCTTTTCATCTTGTCATCTTTGTGTGATTTTAGCTATTCCTGTGGCTTCCATTACCTTCTGTAGGCAAAGACCTTTTAAGTCTGTATTCCCAGCTTGCACCCCTCCCCTAAGTTCCTGACCACCAGATTCAACAGCTTACTGGCTACCCCCACCTGGGTATCTCAACAGCACTTAAACTCAGTGGGTTCCAAAGTGAATTTATAGTTCTTCTCTTTCAAATTTGTTTCTGTTCCTTTGTTATCTTTCTCATGATATAGCACCAACATCCATCTAATTGTCCAAGCCAGACACCTGGATGTCATCCTTTGACCTCTTCCTCCCTCTCCATTTCTAATGAATCCCTACCAAGTTCTGTTGATTCCACTTCCAGAAGTGCCTCTCGAATCCATCCACTTCTCTCCATCCCCACTGCCAAAACCTTAGTCCAAGCCCATATCATCTTTTTCAGAGAAACAGAATAGCCTTCTAAAGTGTCCACCCCATCCCCCACCCTTTCATGTCTTGTCCTCCAATCCATCTTCTACACTATAGAACTAATCCTGGCTGTACTACGGAGTCTTTCAGTAGTTCCCATCATCCTCAGGATAAAAATCTACACTCCTTAGCCAGGTCTGTGAGGCTCTTTGTAAACCCTCTAGGTTGGTGCTCATCCTGAGTGTTCATTTTTCCTCTCTTTTGATGTATGTTTCAGGCACTCAGAAACTGACACACTGAACGAAAGTACCATGGATTTTAACTTTGGGCGTTTACACATATTGTTCCTCTGCTTAGAATGCTTCTTGCCTTTCCTGCCCCTTCGCTTGTCTGGCTTTCTTTTGTCTTTTTAAATTTTTCTTCAATTACCTTCTCAGGAGGCCCACTTTGACCCCCAAGGCTAAGCTAGACTAAAGCTCCTCTTCTGTGTTCCCACAGCCTTAATCTAAGGCACATCCCACTTTGTGCTGCAATTCCCTGCTTACTTGTCTGGCTCTCCCACTAAACTGTGAACTCCATGAAATAGGAACTGTGTTCATTTTTTCTCTGGTTCAATAAATATTTGTGGAATGAAGCAATCTAAGTGAGAGTGTGTAAAAACTGGTCTGAGAAAGCATATACATTATTTTGTGGGATAAATACTCAAATTAAAATTTATTGCCATTTCCCCTTCTTGAACGTGGAATAATTTCCTTCTGCTCAGCACTGCTCCCTCTCTTAGAATCCCCCTGCTTCCTTTTTCTGCCTACTGAACTCCAACTTCAAGACCCAGCTCCTGGATTCCCTTGTCTATGAAGTTCTTGGATCCCATCTCCTTTGGATGCCCACAATTCAGACCGTCTCCTGGGACTTCTCAGAGTCACTGTGATTTTCCAACTGGTTTGTCTCCCTTCTGCACTTGACTATGGACCGATGAGTGTCCAGACTGGGTCTGTTTCATCCCTGTGTCCCCAGCACCTAGTTCAGCGACAACAGCAGGTGTCCAGAAGACATTTAAGGAAAGAAAAGGTGCAGGAAGGGAAAACATATATCATGAGCTGGGTTGTGGAGAAAATGCGGCTGTTGGCCCGTGGGAGGAGTGAAAGTCATTTTGGGGACTGAGTGAGTGGAAGCAGTGGGGGTGGGGGAGATGGTGGCACAAGAGATAGGAGATGAAGGGGGCAGCCAGGCTCTAGGAGGAGGAAACCTAAGGAAAGGCAGGTTGGAGAGGGTGCTTGGAGGGGACTTGGAGACAGAAAAAGAGAGGGGACAGAGCTTTGATTAGAGTTCCCCTTTGGGAGGCAGGAGGATTTGAGGAGGAGTGAAATGGAGACTGGCATCTCTAGGGTGCAGCCCCCAATGTCCAGCCTAATTCCGGTTTGAGGATCTCTTTTGGGAAGGCTAGGGGTGGGGCAGAGGACACAGGAGATTATATAGCTCTAACTTCCCATTCAAACCTTCCATAGTGCTCCCTCCCTCAACCAGCCCTCTTCTTTTTCCCAGTCTTGCCTTCTTTTCTTCCTTTCCTTCCCCGCTGTGGCTCTGTGAACTGGATTTAAAAGGAAGAGACCTGGAAGGATAGGCAAGAGGAGGTCCTCGCTTCCTGGCCGTCTGTGTCTAGGAGGGGGCTCTGTGTTGGGCAGGAGGCTGTGTTTGAGGATGACCAGTGGCTCTGGGTACGACCAGGAGACCAGGGTGTGAAGGGGCTCTGATCAGGTGGTGTGAAGCTGTGATGGAGTTTTTATGAGCCGTGGAGGGGGTGGGGGGGGCAGAAGTGTCGGGGGAGCTGTTTAGGGACTGAGGGAGTACTATGAGGGGATGGTGTAGGCGTTTGAGGAGGCAGTGGGGGCCTTTATCTCTATCAGTGTGGGGTGCAGCGAGAAGGAGCTGGTGGAGGGGGCTTAGGGAGGCACCCACCTCGTGTCCCGGCTCCGCGGATGCGAGGGGGCTCGCAGCTGAGGTTGCCCGCACCGCTGCTGTTGAGGAGGGCCCCCCCGGGGCGGCAAAGGGAAGCCCCCGGCCCGGGTCCGGACCCCTGCGCGCTCCGGTTCAGCTTTAGCAGCTCCATGGCCCCGGCCCAGCCGCTGCCTCCCGGAGCTCGGCCCGGCGGGCTCCCGCTGCGGCTCCACCTGCTCGCGCCGCGGTTCGGGCGGAGGCTCCCGCCCCGCCTGGTCCCCGCCCCCAACCTTGGCCCCTGCCCCGCCGCTCCTCCTCTGCTCGCCCCGCCTAGGCTCGCCTCCCTCCAGGCTCGTCCGCCTCGGTCCCGCCAGGTGACTCTCCGCCCCCCTCCCACGCTCAGGACTTCTGCGCTCCCCTCACCCACAGGGACAGTCCTCCAGGCTCGCCCCCTCCCTAGCCTCTCCGGTCTTCTCTTAGAGATTTCCTTCCCACCCACTCCCCTTCACCACCGTCCTGGTTCGGCAGAATTCTTGGGAGTGTGTGTGCGTCCGTGTGTGTGTGTGTGTGTGTGTGTGTGTGTGTGTGTGCTGGCGAGGGTAGCAGTACGGGTGGATGGAGGGGTGGCGGAGAGGGAGATGCTGGGTGGGGGAAGGAGGGTCAGAGGGAGCGGCCGCCGTGGGATCTAGCATCTTTCCCCGGTGGGTCAGGGGATGTGGGGGTGGCATCTAACACGGTGGCATCACCCACGGTTACTATACTATGCCTCAGTGGCCCCAGTGACCTGGACACCATCGCTACCGTAGTTCTTGCATCTCCTCTCCAAAGGGCTGGGGTCGCCCCTGCATCTGCCCGCGCACCCTTCACCTCCTACCTCAGGGCCCAACACCCAGGTTTCTACCCAAAGCTTCCAAAGAACCGTCCTCAGCGGGCAAGGATGTGGGGGCAGCATTTGTTCTCGGGGGAACCTTGACAGGCAAAAGGGCTGCCCAGAGGAAGAGTCTGACTTTGGTGTGAGGGCAGCCTGGGTAGCAGTGAGAACTGCTTAGAATAAACCAGTGAGGGGTGGGGTGATGGTGGGGTTTGGTTCTAATTCTGGCCCAGCACTGGCACAAGAGGGGAGGAGGCCCTGGCTTTCGTGGTCTCCAGGCAGCGCCCACCCTCACCGACACAATGACGCTCCCTGTTTGCTCTTAGTGCAGGTGGAGCAGCCTGTGTGGGGCGTCAGGTTCCCATGGGAGGGGACCAGAAGGGGAGCAGATCACTGGGGTGCAGCCAGTGCAAAGCTTAAGGGGACATGCACAGAACTGAGGTGTGTTCGGTTCCTTGGGCAGGACTTGCCTCCACTAAGATTTCTGCCCTGCTGGCTATCCATTCTCCTCCATTCCAAGGAAACTCCAATATGACCCTGAAATTCCACTCTGCGGCCCCCAGCAGTAGCTGTTGGAGGTGGGAGCATCAGTCAAAGACCAGATTAGACTGTGGACGAGGTCTGAGTTTACGGGGAATTCAGAGAGCCCTATGCAAGCTGTCTTTTGGAGAGGACCTGTTCCAGCTAGCACTGAGTTTACAGGGGCTGGGACATTGAAGGAGGATTTAGTCTTGAGGTGGGTGGGGATGTCGTCACCTGTCTCCCCTAACTCCCCTCCTCCTGGCACTGCCTGCCTTCCCCATCAGAGTGCCCTGGACCAGAAGAGCCTGATTTGCTGTTTGTTCAGCTCCAGCACAGGTGGCACCTCAGATAACCTGCTGGACTTTTCCCACATTGGATGGCGGTAGGGTGTGGGGGTGGGGAGCAAAGGAAATGTAGGAGAGAGAGGAGTGGAAATAGGAGTAGACGGACATTCACTTATTCAGCAAAGTATGTGCCAGCCATAGGGCTGTGTACTTGCTGTTTGATACGGTCTGTGCCCGAGTAGCTCCCACCCTCCTGGGGGAAAATGACAGGTAAGCCAATGATTACAATATATGGCTGTACATCTGCTAAGATGCAGAAATCAGAAATTTAGGAATCAGCCTGGCTGCCTTACTCCCTTATGCTCTTTTACCTGTAGTAGAGGCTGTGACAAAAAGTCCAAACTCCTCTCCAAAAATGAGGTATTTATTCTGCACTGCACTGCCAGCTGCTTTGGGAGCTGGCTGAGCTCAGGAAAGCCTGCTCAGGCAAGGTCACGTTCCCTTCCTGAGGCATCCTACATCCAGTGACTGCTCAGCACAGAGGTACAAAGGTTCAGCCTCCTCACCCCAACAGAGGACAACTCTGAGAGACATGCACAGCTCCTCGTGGGGTTGACCAAAGCCTTTGTGGGGACTGAATTGCTGCTCAGCCTCTCCCTTCACCCAGTCCTCCTTTCCTTGCTCTTGCATACGTGTAGACTCCAAGAGCGCTCCTTAGTAAACATCCTCCACAGTAATCTCTGTCTTAGTCTCTGCTTCCTGGGGAACATAACTGCCTCCCTCCCATAGTCAATCAATCATGAAGTCCTGTTGATTTTAGCCACTGAGCGTTCCTTGACTCGGTCTGCTTCTATCTGCATGAACATTATGGCACTGTTTCTGCACTGCTCTTGTGGCTTCTTCAGTGGCCCACCACATTTTACAGATGCCCCCTTACCTCCATCCTCCACCTTAGAGTCAGAGTGATAGGTGCAGAACACAAATCTGATTGTGCCACTCTAATGACCTCTGCTCTGGGGATGGAGAAAGCCTTTTCACAGAGTCTCTGAAACCTGCATGGTCTGGCTCCTAGTGGCCTCTGTAACTACCTCATTTTAAGTCACTGTCCTCCTTGTTCTCTCCCCTGTAGACACACTGGCCTTTCTTTAGTTCATTTTTTTGGGGGATCTGTGTCCTCCGGTTACCTGGCTTTTGCACATGCTCTCTGGAAACTTTTCCTTCCTTATCTAATTAACTCCTGATCATCCTTCTCATCTCAGCTCAAGGCATTGGCATTTCTCAGGGATGTTTTTCTGGCTTCTCCTCCTGTGGTAGGCGGAATTACAAAATGGCACTCAGGATTCTCACTTGTGGGTAGAACCTATAAATATGATAAGATGCTACTTCCATGATGATGCTATATGACAAAAGAGATTTTGCAGATGTAGTT